AGAGACCTTCAGGTAGTGTGGGCGGCATATAAGTTAAATAAATAAATAAATAAATAAATAAATAAATAAATCAATAAATCAATAAATCAATAAATCAATAAATCAATAAATCAAACAAACAAACAAACAAACAAACAAACAAACAAACAAACAAACTTTCAGATCCTGATAAGGAAGCCTGACTCCCCCAGGAGTCCTTCAGAGATTTATAGACCTTATTAGCCCAGTAAAGAGTTAATCCCTGAATGAAACCGGACAATCATTGCCAAGACTTAATAATAAGATTTTCCATTGTTGCAATAATTCCAGGCAACTCCAAAACTTGTTCAATTCTACAAGTTTTATTTCCACATAGTTCCTAGGTTCCATATGGATAACATAAAATCCAAATGTATTAAAAACATGTAACTTTTTAAAAAGTCACAGGCATGTCTCTTGATCTTGCAAACATCATCCTTGCAGCTATAAAAAAACTGTAGACACGTAACTTAAAATATATCCTTATAAAAAGACATGTGTCAAGACTTAAGCTGAAGTATAATAAAACACGAAGAATAATGTGTTTAAGTTATATTCTCAAATATAGGAGTTTGTAACCTATAAAGGCAAATAATAAAATTATAAAAAGCAAAAAGCCTTATAACTTTGAGTGAAAGGCATGGGAAAGTATTTAAGCTTTAAAAGTGAAAATATGTTTTTTTTTCCCTTTATCTCCTCTTTGCTCACCCCCGTGGGGCATAGCAAGAGGAGGAAAAGCAGGGATCAAAGTGATCATGCAGCCACAGCAGGGCTTAGCAAGAAGAAAGTAAGCAGGGATCAAAGCAATCCTGCAGCGCTTTGATCCCCTTTCCCCTCCACTTGCTATGCCCCCCAGGGCACTCACGTGGGGCATGTCATGCTCATGCAGGGGGCGTGTTGCACTCGCCCCCACCCCACCCCCATGCATGGAGCCTGGTCCGTGGTCCCAAAAAGTTTGTGGACCGCTGCTCTAGGCTGATAGTCCTGGGGGACTTCAATGTCCACGCTGAGACGAACTTATTAGGAGCGGCTCAGGACTTCATGTCCTCCATGGCAACCATGGGTCTGTACCAAGCGGTTTTTGGCCCCACATATATATCACTGCACACTCTGGGCCTTGTTTTTCATGCTGGGCAGGATGATGGTGATCTGGTTGTGGAGGAGCTCTCTGTAGTTCCCTTGTCATGGACAGATCACTACTTGGTGAGGTTTAGACTTACTGGAACTCTTAATCTCTGCAGGGGTGGAGGACCTATTAGGATGGTCCGCCCCAGGAGACTGATGGATCCAAGTGGTTTTCTGACTGGTCTTGGGGAGTTTCCTGTTGCCTCGGCAGGCAATCGTGCCATAGCTCTGGCTGATCTCTGGAATGGGGAAATGGCCAGGGCAGTGGACACATTCGCTCCTAAGCATTCTCTCCCACCAAGTAGAGCCAAGCAAGCCCCCTGGTTCACCAGGGAGCTGGCAGCGATGAAATGAGTGGGACGGAGACTAGAATGATGATGGCGGAAAACAGAGTGTATCCGACTGAACATGGGCCAGGGCCCATTTGAAGGCCTATTCCGTGGCAGTGGCTGCAGCAAAGAAAAGGTTCTTTGCTGCTGCCATTGCATCTGCACAAAGTCGCCCAGTGGAGTTGTTTCAAGTGGTCAGGGGCTTAGTACCAAAAGAACAAAATATTGACCACTCCACAATCCACTGTGAGGAATTTGCACGACACTTTGCAGATAAAGCTGCTGGGATTCGCTCTGACTTGGATGCTGTAATTGATACAGACCCAGTGGACGTAACTTTGGCTTGCCCTGCTTTAATGGATACTTTTCAGTTGGTGCAGCCTGATGACACGGACAGGATTCTTGGAGAGGTGAAGGCCTCCACATGTGTGCTGGACCCTTGCCCTTCCTGGCTCATAAAAGCAGCCAGAGATGGAATGGCCGATGGGGTACGGGGAGTGGTAAACGCCTCCTTGCAGCAGAGTAGGATCCTTACTTGCTTAAAGAAGGCAGTCATAAGACCGCTATTGAAGAAGCCCTTCTGGGCTGTCTCTCTGGGATGGGACTTGGAGGCACTGTTTTACAGTGGTTCCAGTCCTTCTTGGATGGGAGAACCCAGAAGGTGGTGCTAGATGACTCCTGCTCAACACCATGGCCATTGGCCTGTGGTGTTCCTCAGGGTTCTCCTTTGTCACCCATGCTTTTTAACATCTACACATCTCCCTACTGGGAGAGGTTGTCTGGAGTTTTGGAGTTCGGGGTCACCAGTACTCAGATGACGCCCAACTCTATCTCTCCTTCCCACCAAATTCCAGGGAAGCTGTCTTGAGTGTAAACCAGTGCTTGGCATCAGTAATGGCCTGGATAAGGGCAAACAAACTGAAACTTAATCCAGACAAGACAGAGGTGCTCCTGGTTAATCGGAAGGTAGATGAGGGAATAGGGACACTACCTGTGCTGGATGGGGTTACACTCCCCCGAAAACTCAGGTCCGCAGCTTGGGTGTACTCCTGGATTCGTCTCTAAGCTTGGATGCCCAGGTCTTGACAGTGGCCAGGGGTGCATTTGCACAGCTAAAGCTGGTGCGCCAGCTGCACCTGTTTCTTGAGATGTCGGATCTGGCTACAGTGACACATGCCTTAGTTACATCCCATTTGGATTACTGTAACACACTCTATGTGGGGCTGTCTTTGAAGACCATTTGGAAACTTCAGCTGGTGCAAAACTCTGCAGCCAGACTACTGACTGGGGCCAGCTATAGGGAGCATATAACGCACCTGTTACAAGAACGGCACTGGCTACCAGTCCATTTCTAGGCCCAATTCAAAGTGCTGGTCATTACCTATAAAGCCGTATACAGCTTGCGTCAAGGCTACCCTGAAGGACCGTATCTCCCTATATGCGCCTTCTCGGCGATTAAGGTCAGCAGAGGACCCTCCTCTCGGTCCCCTTGCCAGCACAAGCACAGCTGATGGGGACACAGGAGAGGGCCTTCTCCGTGGCAGCTCCCAGGCTATGGAACGCTCTCCCTCGGGAGATCAGGGTGGCCCCTTCACTTTTATCCTTGCAAAAAAGCGCTAAAGACCCATCTCTTCAGGCAGACTTTTAACAATTACAACTGAGTCCCTGAACCCCATTTCAGCAGATAATTTTAATCTTTTCCATGTTTTACTCTTTTAATCTTTTAATTCAACTTTTAAATCAAATATTGTTTAATTTATCTTTCAATATTTAACTTACTGTGTTTTTAAATTGTGTGAATTTTTTAATGTTGAGAGCCACTTTGGGTCGCTTGTTGGGAGAAATGTGGCATATAATGAAGCTAATAATGATGATAATAATACTTCTCTGTGTCTTGACCCCTGTGTTCCTACACCTGCTTCTGTTCCTGCCTTGGCCCCTGCTCTTGCCTCTGCTTGCCTCCTGCATCTCGGCGCCCTGTTGCAGGCCTGTGCTCCTGCCTCTGCTTGCTCATGACCAACTGCGCAGTGAGTGTCGTTGGACTTGATAGTCTGCATGGTGGACTGGGTCCTGGTGCCCTTATCCATGGTGAGAGGCTGCCTGGAATATCTTGGACTGTGACACCCTGTTTTTGCCAGAATCCTAAAGTAGTAGTTTAGGAAGAATGCCGTTTTGTCTCCAGTCTGCATGTACTAATATAAAAAGCAATTATGATCTTGCTGTATGTAGAACTATAGTGACTTACACCACTGCTCATTACTTCTCTTTCAGGGTGATTCTGGCCGACCTGGCCGCAATGGACCACCTGGACCACCTGGGGAAAGAGGTGGCAGGGTATGTACCCCATGGCTTCATGCACATTGTGAAGTTACTGAATCTCTCAGACATTCTACACTATACTAATTAGTTGCATGGCTGCCAGGCAATGGTTGTATAGACAATAAGTCAGATAACTGGGAGGAATGATTTAAAATTGTAGATAGAATTATCTGATCATGTTTATTTACAGCAACTGTTATAAGACAGGAATGCTGGATTCACTGGAAGAGACTGTTCAATTCCTTCTCTATATTTCATGAGTGGGGGTGGTTGCCAAGGGAAGCTGACTTGTAAACTTATATCCACCAAAAGGCAAATGCGTTACATTTAGTCAAATGCAACCATACCCAAATGTTCTTTTGTCAAGTTCTGTCAGAGCTGATCCCTTCATTCAGAGCAGATTTTGGATAAAATTTTAAAAATTATCTTTGATACCTTTGCATTGGATTGGCATCTCTTTTCCACATCTTGAGATGTTTCAGTACATCTCCATAAATTCATACTGGAAAATCAACAATATGTAGAGTTGCAAGTGCTAAATGAAGAAATCACAGAAGGATGAATTGGAAGGAGAATGTCAGATGTGAGACCTGGTGTTTGTGACCAATGTGTACAGAGTTTTTTATTGCCCTGAAAACCGTCTATAATGAATTCTAATGTCTTCCTTTTATTTTTTCAAAGGGACCAAAAGGAATCAATGGAGCTCCTGGCAATTCTGGCATCAAAGGAGCCAAAGGTGGACCTGGACCTAGTGGACCCAGAGGAGAACCTGTAAGACTCTAGATGGCTTCACACTTTATCTGTTGACTCAAAAACAAGATTCCAGTACAGACTTGAAGTGGGGGACAACTCTATGAATCTGCCCTGAAAAGCACTTCAGTTCTAAACATATTGCCTAAGCAGTTTTAACGGAGTTGCTGGACTTCTGCCTATCTTGTGAAAGAATGGTTTTACAGTTCCACTGTCCACCAGTTATAGTGGTTCTTCTCTCTCTCTCTCTCTCTCTCTCTCTCTCTCTCTCCATTACAAGCAAAACTCACATAGAGCATATCCTAATTGCTCCTCATTAAGAGAAGGTTCAATCGCCCATTAATTTGGATTTGTTTTGACATACCCTCATGATGTTACTGCAAAATCTAATGCATTCCTTCCTCTTCCCTTCTGTTTCCAGATTATTTTGCCTTATTTCAGTTTTTTTTCCCTTCCCAGTTTGCTTCAGATGTGTCAGCCATGTCTATTCCTTTATTCTGGTTCTGATGGGAGAATGTACAGTGGGACCTCTCTGGAGAGCTGCTGTGTTATCAGCTGTGCAAGTGTTCTCCCCAGAACAACAGTGGTTATTCTGCATGATGACCTGCTAAGGGAGGCCAACAGGAGGGGGGGGGGTTTCAACCCTGTTGGTGCTCCTGGAGGAGCTCCCTCAGGAGCTTTTGATACCATTTACCACAGTAACCTAGTGCAGTGGTTCTTACCCTGGGCGATAATGCCCCCCAGGGGGCGATTTCATTTTTCAGGGGGGCGGTAGAACGAAAATGGGCGGCGTGGGGGAGCTGGAGCTGTGTGAGGCTGCTCGGGAAACTTTGGGGTGTATTGTCATCAGTATGATGATGACACAATTGCATCTCCTTTACGTCCTCTGCAGTGGATGCAGGCCAGGATTTTGAGTACTGTCTGTCTGGCCCCAGTTTTGGAGTTGAGCAGGCCAAGTAGGAGTGGACAAGATGGAGATCCTATTTCTGAAGAAGGGGCATGTGCCTCAGCCAGATGGAGTCACTCTCCACTCTATAGGACTGAGTTCAAAATTTGGGGTGATTCTGGATTGGTCATCACTTTGGAACATCAGATTTCTGTTGTTGGTCTTCAACTAGATCAGGCTGATTGCCCAGTTACATTCCTACTTGGACGAGAGGTATCTTAGGACATTGGTTCATATGCTGGTGATCTCAAAGGCTGACTGCTGTAACACTCTCCATGTGGGTCTGCCATTGGGCCTGACATAGAGACTGCAATGGATGCAGAAATGCAGCAGAAGATTGATTATTGGCACAAAGTTGTTAATAAATTGGTTATCAATTCTTTAATCATCTTATCATATTCCACATTCTCAAATATTGATAACAAAGCAATCTCAGAATTAAGGTCTATATCTTTTTCACATATGTTGTTTAATTCTTTAAAAAGTTGTTTCCAAAATCTTTGTACTTTTTCACATTCCCACCACATATGAAAGTATGTACCAATTTCTTTCTCACATTTCCAACAGACATTTCGGATAACTAGCATTAATTTTATTTAATTTTTATGTGTTAAATATCATCTTAGACCCAGTTTTTAAAAGTTTTCCCTTATTCTCACTGACATAAATCTTAAAACCCTCATTTTCCGTATCTTCCTCCATTCTTCCTCATTTATTATTTTTCCAATGTCTTGTTCCCACACTATCTTCAGTCCTTCTTTCTCACTTTTTTCTTCCTCTAAATCAAGAAGAAGTCCATAAATTTTACTCACTGTACCCTTTACTGATATAGAAAATTCATTGATTTGCCCCTTTTTGCCAGTGACCAGACAACTTACTGCCAGCACAAACCAGCTTGTCCCCACAGCATTCCTACCCTTACCTTTCTGGATCCCTGTCAGAACCTAATTTTTTTAAGGTGCAAGTATGATTGCTCCATTTTGGTTCCATTCCAGCATTTGTGATCACTGGGATCAAACCAAAGTGGCTGGCTGGCTGTCCTTTTAGGGAAGCCTCAGAACAACATTAACAACCTTGCCCCTCTCAATGATCTGGCTGTCCCTTCAGAAAATTCTCTTAAAAATCTTGAAAAATGGAAAACTTCCACTCAGTTTTCCATTTCTTTGTAATGTTTGCTAACTGACACTGTGCATCAGCAATGCTTTAACAAGGCTTTTAAAAAACCTTTTCAAAGCATCTCTGATACATTAGCAATAAAAAGAAATGCAAATATTCCTTTCCAAAGGAGGGGTGAGTGGAAGTTTTCCATTTCTTAAAATTGTTAAGGGACTTCTCCAAAGGGACAACCTGCCAGCTGCTTAATGATCTTGAGAAATATTTCCCTTTAAAAGGAAAAAAAACCTTTCATTTTAAAGGGGAAAAAAATCTTGATCATGTTAAATAGGATCCTGATCTTGCTAAACAGGATAGTTTCCTGACCTCAAACCACGCAATCCTTGCAGGGCTTGCACCAGACACCTCTACGCAACCTTAAGGAACTCTTATTTAGCCTAAATTAGCTGTCTAGCCAAACCCTTAGTGGAAGAGCAAACAAAGGGTTAAATCATATTAAGACAAATGAATATTTCTTCCTTTTACAATGTTATCCCTCCATGCATGTCTATAAACCGGACACGAAAACCAAGCTATGCTGATTTCCACTCATCAATTACATATTACAAGACTTCAATGAGCATCTGCATGCTATGTCATTTCGAGTGGCACACAAACACCCACATATGCACATGAAAGTGTTGTTTCTGCAGTTGTTAATACAAATATATACAGTGGTGCCCTGTATAGCGACGTTAATCCGTTCCGGATTAACCATCGCTATGAGAAAACATCGCTATACGGATAGGAAAATGCCATTGGAACGCATTAAACATCGTTTAATGCGTTCCAGTGACTTCTACACTCACCGTAAAGCGATGTTTCCTCATAATGGCAGCCATTTTCGCGCCCTCGGTCCCATACCTTTCTGGATCCCCATCAGAACCCAATTTTTTTAAGGTGCAGGTATGATTGCTCCATTTTGGTTCAGTTCCAGCATTGCCCCTCTCAATGATCTGGTTGTCCCTTTGGAAAATTCTCTTAAAAATCTTGAAAAATTGAAAACTTCCACTCAGTTTTCCATTTCTTTGTAATGTTTGCTAACTGACACTGTGCATCAGCAATGCTTTAACAAGGCTTTTAAAAAACCTTTTCAAAGCATCTCTGATACATTATCAACAAAAAGAAATGCAAATATTCCTTTCCAAAGGAGGGATGAGTGGAAGTTTTCCATTTCTTAAAATTGTTAAGGGACTTCTCCAAAGGGACAACCTGCCAGCTGCTTAATGATCTTGAGAAATATTTCCCTTTAAAAGGAAAAAAAACCTTTCATTTTAAAGGGGAAAAAAATCTTGATCATGTTAAATAGGATCCTGATCTTGCTAAACAGGATAGTTTCCTGACCTCAAACCACTCAATCCTTGCGTGTGGTTGCAAGGCTTGCACCACACACCTCTACGCAACCTTAAGGAACTCTTATTTAGCCTAAATTAGCTGTCTAGCCAAACCCTTAGTGGAAGAGCAAGCAAAGGGTTAAATTATATTAAGACAAATGAATATTTCTTCCTTTTACAATGTTATCCTTCCATGCATGTCTATAAGCCGGACACGAAAACCAAGCTATGCTGATTTCCACTCACCAATTACATATTACAAGACTTCAATGAGCATCTGCATGCTATGTCATTTCGAGTGGCACACAGACACCCACATATGCACATGAAAGTGTTGTTTCTGCACTTGTTAATACAAATATATATATACAAGACTTGTTTATGTTCACTCATTTTTTATGAAGAAGATGGTCCAGTGAAAGATACTACTTTTACCTGCTCTAGTCCATTTTTAAAGAAGAAAAGAAATAATCAAGAGAACAGAAGAGGGTTCCTGTCTAAGAGAGGAAGTGTTCTTTCTGCAGTACAACAGCAAAAATAACAAATGGCCTGGACCTTTCTTTTCCTTTGACCTTTTCTTATTTTTTTTAACTAAGGGCCGCCGTGGTGATTCTGGACCAAAGGGGACTCCTGGAAATCCTGGACCTAAGGGAGAGAGGGTAAGTCCATCAGGGTTTCAGAGCAGTGGAAGTAAATATTCCCCATGCTCTTCACTGCATACTGGGAGAGAGGAATATAACTAGAATACCTTTCAGCTATAAAGAACTAGTAAAGCAAGTCTATAAGGTAAAAGCAAATGGATACACTATGGTTGGGAAAGCTTTTGCCCTGGTTCTTAAAGGTACAATATATTTCGAATGGTGGAACTCAAGGCATGTGTGGGCAATCAAGTGTATCTATCCCAGTTCAATGGCAATAGTAATCCCATGTTTGGGTAAAATGGTTGAGAAGATTTCTCTCTGGAGGTTTTTCAGGTATCACAAAATGGGATAGTAGGTGGGGAGACAGGATTTTCACTCATTATTTTTTGTCACAGTCTCGCTTCAGAACACTAGGGTGAAAAGTTGTCAAAAGAAGGCAGTGAATGCTAACGGAATCAAGCCTGAGTTCCCATCATTTTACATTTAACTTGAAGGATGCCGAGCCACTCTGTTTTACCTTGGAATTGACAGTCAAGTGTCAAAGCTGTCTTGAGACATTTGGAAAAAGTAACTTTCCCATCCTTTAACAGTGATTCTGGAGGAATTATGAAAGAATAATGTATAGGATCATTACCAAATTAGGGTTCAGAAACGGGGGGGACTGGTCCCCAACCCATGGATGTTGCTCACCTCTGTGTGAAAAGGGAGAAAATGAAGTAATCTCTTCATTCTGATTAAAAAGTCAACATGATTTTCCTCAAACAAGGTTTATTTTGAAGACCTCTATAAATTAGGGTCACTGTTCCTTGAAATGTGTTCCAAGACCTAGGCCCACTAAGTACCAGATCTGACCCACAAACCCACTCCAACGAATTGCTACTGAGGGATAAACTGCCTCCATTATATACGAGTTTTCTGTTATCTCAAACATTAGGGACATGGTAGGAGAAGCTACGGTAGGTCCATCTTTCAAAATTCCTGTTGCTAACCAAGGAAGAAAGAACTTCCCAGTATCAGACTGAAGGTTTTTCTTTATTCACAGGGAGATCCTGGTCCTGAGGGACAAAGAGGGCTACCTGGAGAAGTTGGAAACAAAGGAGGACAGGTATGAAGAAATGATGGAATTGAAGCAAAAGCTGGGTGTGCTACATAGACAGCAGGCACTGCCTGAGCAGTTGCCATGAAAGCAGTCTGCAAGATATTTAATTAGCAGTAACTTTTCTGTCAATGTATGGTAAATCCTCTCCTAAGTGGGATTATGTGCTCTCAAGTCAATTCTTCTGGCACCACTTTCCATAGTTTTCTAGGCACTCCAACCACTCAGAGGTAGTTTACCTCTTCTTCTAGGGGTCTCCTGGAACTGTGCAGCTTGCCCGAGGCCACACAGGCTGGCTCTTCTGGGGTCTGACTCAAAATTGCATTGAATGCAAGGGCGGGTTAGAAGAATTCCTCTCCTACATATAACAGGAATAAAGCAAGGCAGAGAGGTCCAGGGGGGGAAAAGAAAGAAAAACTGGAGGGGGGGTATTTTCTCTCTTTTTAAAAGATAATTTTTCTAATTTTTAAGTGTAGAGATTAAAAACTTCGAGGGAACAAGACCTCTGATAAGATTTTTCCCCTTCTACAATGAGTGAAATAAACTTTGTTCATTAAAAAATCAGGAGTTTCTCTTTAAGTGGACCATGTGCAGTGTGCAGCTCTTGTATAGGGAATATTTATAATTTTGCTTGTAAAAAACTTACTTTTAAAGATTCCATAAAGATGACAAATAGTCCAATTTTATATGCTAAGTTAGGAATGAATGAATTTAAGTTCCTTGCACCTTACCTGACCTTACTCATAAGTTGGAGCTGGTGTCAGTCAGGTTTGGCCACTAGTACATCCTGTGGTTCTAGGAAAAGTAATTTGTTCAGGAACATCCAAACACCACAGGTCTAAATAGTTAAAAAATATAAAGTTCCATAAGTAACATGTTTCTCTCTACCATGAAGTCAAAGACAATAATTGCTTTTTCTCGCTAAACCATAATTATTCAGTCAGACTTCTCAGCTTGGTGGTAACCAGTGGAATAATTAGTGTAGAAGTTCCAACATTGGAAAGATATCATAGATATTCCACACAATGTTTCTAATACAGCAGTGAAATAACTTATGCAGTATGGTCTATTTACCACATGTAATATCTTAGGCCTGGATTGACAGCACTTTCTAGTGTGAATATTTCTGAGAATGCCTGACTTATCTCTCATGTGTGTGTTCCACAGGGGGAGCGAGGACTGCCTGGACCACGAGGTCTTCCAGGTGGTGTGGGAGAAACAGGCAAGCCTGTAAGTTTCATTCAAGCATGTCTCTATTTATATATTTAAATTGTTCTCTAGGCAGCTGACAAGACATGTAGGAAGCAAGGCATATTATACAACTGGCTTTCCTGAGGACCACTCAGTAATTCCCTGTCAGCTTGGGTTCTTTGTCCTTCACTGTTCAACTGGCCATACAACACACACCCAGTGCCCATTTGCCTGACAAGGTGCAACAGATATCTGCCATCATAAATGGGTTGTAAATGTTACTGTAGGGCTACAAGAGCTTCTAGTCAGACTTTACTCCATCTGCTTTCTGTGGGGAAAATACTACTTGAAATTGTAATTTTCAAAGATGGAAGAAGTAACTGTGACTCCTGGAATGCGCCAGTGAGCATGACCAATATTCTGATTCCTAATACTCCCAACAGATAGTGTACTTAATATTCTTTTTTGCATTCTACACCACTCTGTTGCAGGGCTCACGGGGAGATCCTGGTGATACAGGTGTAAGGGGTGACCCAGGTCCTCCCGGACCAAAGGTGAGAGATAAATGAAAATAAGATTATGTTAACATGTTATATTTCGGTATTAGTCCACTCTTACACTGTAGCACAGCCTACTTTAACAATATTTTTCAAGACTCAAAAGAGTCTTCTTTTTTCTGAAGTAATGCCAGCTTTAGATTCTTTGTAAGAGGATATAGTGAACTATATGTTGTCATTGTACGTTATTCCACCACCTCTTTCTTTGCTTGCTGACTAAATTAGGATCTTCACGTTCTACAAACTGTTCCTGTTCATTAGGACCTATCCTATCACCCCCAAAAGGAATAACATACTGGTGTCTTCTATTATAATGGGGAATGAGACAAAGCAAGCTTCCCAAATACTGTGCTTTCTTTGAAGAGCCTTTTTTCTTTTTTATTATAGGGAGACAGAGGAAGACCTGGCTTTAACTATCCTGGCCCCAGAGGACTAGCGGTATGTGTTTGAACAGCGCATTAACACTTAAATATTTCTCAGGAGCAGAATTTGCAACATACTAATTAGTGTCAATCATTGGCTACAGTTTATGCCACTACACTTCAGTCCAGTGTAAATGTGCGACAGGATTCTAGCCAATTTTGATTATACAGTCACCACTTCCTTGTGGGTCGGTTAGAGAATGACCAGAAGTGAAGACAGCAAGGAGAATGTGGACTCACTCTGGGTTTGCTGTGGACATCTGGCTTAGCTCTTCATAACATTTGGAGCTGGAACTAATAGGGAAGTATTGTTTTGGCGATACTTAGCCTGTTTGCACAGCTAAATTCTGTCTTTCACAGAATCTACCTGAATGATTACTGCTGCCCTTGACCTTTCTATTTTGGCAACATGTCATTTGAGGATGTTGGTCTTTCATTGAGACTACAGAATATTTTCTAATGGAATTGTAATTTTGCTATTGTTTTGGACATGTTAGCGGTTTTCTGTTATTACTTGTTTTAAGTTTTTACAGTTGGGTGAACTGAGGTATGAATCAAATACTCTCTAGTTGGTTATATTCTTCAGAATCCTAATGGTGCTTGGTAAGAATTGTGCAACTTGCCATGGCTACTTGTGGTCAGTTGATAAGATCCAGACCTTATTGGATCTGGATTCCTGCACTGAGCAGGGAGTTGGTCTTGATGGCCTTATAGGCCCCTTCCAGCTCAATTATTCTATGATTCTAGGATGACGTGCTTGGAAGAATATCATGCCTGTGTGCCTGGTCACATGGCATGGCACTTGGTCAATTAGCTGCAGTTAGCCGTGACATGTTATGTAAAGATGTTAGGATTTTATTCAAGCCATAAAACTGAAAATGTTTTTCTAACATTAAATTCTTAATTTATTTGTCCAATATGTGACAAGAGGTTAGACATAGAACTGCAGTGCATCATTACAATTGCAGTCTTCATTCTGAACCCTTATAAGTTCTGAAATTTGTGAACATGTCAGTCCCGAGAGATACAGAAGTGAAGAACCTTTGACTTGCTTGCATTTAGCAATGTTGCTTCTGACTCTAATTCAAATAAATGGTTATATTTGGTAAAGGAGCAGTCTATACTGGCCACTGCAGTACTAGACTTGACTACTTCCAAAGCTGTGGGAGCAGCATATGGCCACCCACACCCTTTATCACAGCTCCTAACCCCTAAGTATTTTATTGGGGGGAAAGCCCTCACAGCACTTAATTACTTCAACTAGCATATTTTTATATTCCTGAGCAGTTCTTGGTATCTTCAAGTTTTGAAGAAAGACTCTTTCCCACCCCACCCCATCTAGCAGCTAAATGTGGCAAAATTGCCAAACAAACCCTAGAGCAGGGGTGGCAAACATTTGGCAAGCCAGATGTTTTGGGCTACAACTCCTAGAATCCTCAGCTTATTGGCAATGATGAAGAACTTTGAGACTTGTAGTTCAAACTATCTGGAGTGCCATCCCTGCCTTACAGGGCCCACAGAGGATTTCCTAAGGACTTTATTTAACAAAATCTACAATTTGAGGATGTGGGTGGAGATGCGGGGGGCACTTTTGAGCCTATTTTGCCTACCGCTGCCATAAGGGAAGTCATGCTTCTTGACTCAGAGGCTGCTCATTCTCCATTGGAGTTGCTGAGAATTCTGGGGCTGGTCTGAATATTTTTTGTTATTTAACAGATCATTTAACAGTTCAAATGTCCCCAGTCTCTTGAGAAAGTGCCCACAACTACCCTAGATCTTTTTTGAGAGTTTAAAGTCAGAAATGTACGTACTTTCTATAGGCAAAAAAGCATAGTTGAAGTATTAAGGATGTAATAATAATGAGAAAATGGAGAATATTTTGAAAACAACAGTAACAAAGGCTTGAAGGATGTTGAGCCACAGCAGAAACAACAATCTGAAAATGAATTAAACAGTTGGAAAAATAAAGCACTATATGGACAACACCTGAGAAATATTGATGGAAAGCATGATAATAATTCAACATGGTCATGACTGCAACTGGGGAACAATAAGAAAGAAACTGAAAGCTTGATATTTGCTGCACAAGAACAAGCACTCCAAACCAATGTGATGAAAGCTAAGATTCAAGGGATTACTGCTAACAGCAAATGTCGACTCTGCCAAGAAGATGAAACTGCATCACACTTTATCTGCAAATGTCAGGTAGAGAAGGTGTCAAAAAATGACAAAGTCAAGATCTTGTAGAATTTCTGGATCCAAACTGCTAGACACCTTGAACATATCACACCAGACATAGTAGTGATCAAATGAAGAAATGTCTGGATCATTGACATGGCAATTCCAGGAGATGCCAGAGCTGAAAATAAAGAATTGGAAAAGCTAACAAAATACAGAGATCTGGCAATCGAAACATCTCATTTTTGGATAAAACACACTTCAGTGGTCTCTGTCAATATCAGGGCTTTGGGAACAATATAAAGAAATTTCACACAGTATTATAAGCAGTTGTAGATCTCAGAAATAACTCAGAGCTAACAAAAATGCCAATATTAGGAATAGCATAGATATATATATACAGTGGTGCCCTGCATAGCGGCGATAATCTGTTCCGAAAAAATCATCGCTATACAGATTCATCGCTATGCGGGGCAAAAAAACCCCATAGGAACGCATTAAAACGTTTAATGCGTTCCTATGGGGGAAAACTCACCTTTAAGCGAAAATCCTTCATCCCGGCACCATTTTCGCTGCCCGGTGAGGCAACACAGCGGATGGCCATTTTGGAATCGCCGATCAGCTGTGCTTCGGCGCTCTCGCTCTCTCCCCTTGCAGGTCCAAGGCTCTCTTTCGGGGGGGGGGGTCTTTGGGATGATCGTGGGGAAGCACTTCTCCACGATCATCGCAAAGCGATTTTCCCCCATTTAAAACATCGCAATGTGATCGCTTTTGCGATTGCAAAAACTCCATCGCTGTGCGGATTCATCGTTAAACGGGGCGCTCGTTAAGCGAGGCACCACTGTATATATATATATATATATACTGAACAGATATTTAACACAGGCTTAGGTTTTTGGTTAAAACTTTTATCTGTTATATAATACCAGTCAATGTTTTTATAATTTTAATTGACCCAATGGGAACTGCGAGCTCCCTCAGCCTATGGTAACGGCAAGTGCTGTTCTCAAATATATAAAAGATAATATTTTATATTCATGCTTCAAGGACGGCATGCTTTCTGAACTGAAATTACTGCAGGAGTATTCAGTTGTCCCCTGCCTGTATACTCTAACCGTTTTAGACTGGGCTGGCAATTCCCTCTGTATCATGCTTGTACCTGTTGCATTCATTCTGCTAAAGGCATAAATAGCTGGAGTTCACACACTGAAGCTCTGTATCTGGTTCAAGCTAATTTAGAATTCACTCCTTAGTCCCACTTGTGCAGAAAGAAATTTCTAATGGGAAAAGTTCTAACAAACTCTTAAGATTCTTGTGTTCAGTATCTGTATAAACCTCATTGCCAATAACCATTTTATTTTAGAGTGTATCTTTGCTTATTACGTGTGAGTAAAGCCACAATGGGGCAACATGAAGCCTGAGATGCTTTTCTCTTTTTGCAGGGTGATAAAGGTGAGAAAGGGCTTCCAGGACCAGAGGTACAGCCTTTTTAAAGTTCTGTTGAATCCTTTTGTTTTCTGTTTTCTTCTGTTCTGTTTTGGAGGGAGTATGTGGATTTTCAGGACCACATCTTAGGCCATGTCACACTGGCGGCATTGTGGAGACCACTGCATGTGAACTACGAGATCAACCCCTCACCAGGCTCTGGTGAAAGGGTTGATCACTCAGGTCATTACAGTGTGTGCCATATCAGTATTGACATGGATCGTTTTGTGGCTTTGGCTATCCAATCAAGTTACCTCCTCCACTAACCGCTTGCTGTACTGTAGCCCGTTAAATCCGTAGTACAGAGAAATATCTATCAAAGAAAACTGAAAGGAAAGGGCTTGCTTGAAAGAAAGAAATGAGCGGTACAGAAAAATCCTTACCTTTTAATCCCATTCTTGTAACAGGGTGCAAGAGGTGAATTTGGACCAAAAGGCCCTCAAGGGGTAAAAGGAGAGAAAGGTGAACCCGTAAGTGCTTCCTACAGTCCTATTTTATTGCTTAACATATTTGAAGAGCTATGAGAAATCATTTCTGGAATTTATACACAACATGCCCATACGATTGCTGAGGGTAGCACATTGTAGCATCATGACTTGTTCTTGGAGTGTGGCACATCCCTGCTGACTGAGCCAGGAATTTGGAGTGGTGGAAACAGTCGAAGGGGCAGAGGCAGGTAAGGGTGTATATAGAGGAGAGAGCAGGAGGACAGAGAAATGCAAGGATGCTGGACAGAAGGAGGAGGGTGGAAGATCAGGTGGCAAGGGCAGTGAAAGTAATATGGAAACATTTCTTCAGGTTCTTTTCTGAAAAACATCTGATTCTTGGTAGAAAATTCTACCTATTGTAATCCTGAATGGCTGGGATCAGAATAGCAACATTCACAGATCTTCAGCTGCTGAGGCAAACATGGTGAACAATATGAGGTTTTATGGCAGCTTGTTACAATACATTGACAGACTGTTTTGAAAGAAAACTTTGTCTAGATCGACGTCTTTTCTCTATGGTATTTGTAGAGCTGTTTCCCTTGGTGTCCTCTTTGCAAAGGGACAGAGGGCCCCACTTACATTAGCAGAGCTGCCATCACTCCTCCCACATGGAAGGCCTTTGTATCTAACAAATGAAAAGATGTCTGTTGTAGGGTATCTCATCTCCCCATTGAACTGGGAGACTCAGAGCAGGACTACACAGCAATATTATACTCCATGGCATGAGTCAGAGTTGACATGGGTAAATTCCATTTTTTCCCTGCAACTACATGACATAAAGCTAACCATTTGTTTGTGTTTTGTTTTGTGTTGTTTTTTTGTTTTGTGTTGTTTAAAATATTATTACTCCACCTTTCTCCTTAAAAGCACCAAGGCAGCTTACATCATTAAAAGACAATACTAAAGCTAACAACAGTGAGTATACAAATAAAAAACAAAACCCAACAAATATCATACAAAAAATATAACACTAAAACAAATTCAAAGCAAGTAAGGTACCACAATCCATTCAAGCAGACCAGTCACTCAGGGAAGGATAACAAAGATGGAGACAGCCTTTTTTATCTTGCCTTCCTCCTCAGAAGAACCCAAAGTGGCTTACATCATTGAAAAGACAATATGTAGAAGCTAAAAACAGTAGGTATACAAATAATTAAAAAGAATTAAATACATATTACATTTAAAACTAATAAAATCTATACTAAAACACATTTAAAACAACAGAGCACAACCATTCACTTAAAACTCCCTCTCAGACTATCAGGTATTAAGGGAAAGCCTGACTGAAGAGAAACGTCTTTGGCTGCTTGCAAATGGGCAGCAATGATGGGGCCAGCCTAGCGTTCTATGGGAGGGAGCTCCAGAGTCTGGGAGCAGCCACAGAGAAGGCTCTCATCCATCTCCCCACCAAACACACCTGTGAGGGTTGTGGGACAGAGAGAAAGGTCTCCCCTGATTATCTTAAGACTTGAGTAACCATGAATATTCCTGATTTCTTTTTTTTTATGGCAATTCAGTGTATTTTGCTCAGCATGGAAGCAGTTCTCCTTTCTTTAGTACTTTATTTCAATTTTTGGCATGTGTATTTGAAGGTGCAGGGATGGGGTTCCTAGAGTGATGTTGGGGGTGATATGTTAAGAGAAGTGTAATGTAGCAGGTAAACTGAGACATTCCCCTTCAGTGGCTGTCAAAATATAGGCATAGGCATCCTTCAGTCTCGAGAGACTATGGTAACATGCTCTGAATCGAGGAGTGTCCTCTCCAGAGCATGAAGCCCGGGTAAGGTAATATGGAGGACAGGCTGTTACCCAAGCAGCAGATCCCCCCTCTCCACGTTGCTGAAATGGTCCAATGGAAAGGCAAGAGCCAATACAACTGGTTCCAGCAACGTCACAGGAGTTGGCAGAACGACACATGCTGCCTTCGGGACTCCAGCTCCGGATTTTGCCTCTAGGTTAACTCCTGAAGCCTTCTCCATGAGTGGATATAGTACTGACTTAATTCAACACTGTATTACCAGTGGAAAACAGTGTGGCAAGGAAAAAAAATAGAAAAACAGATGGTGAGCCTGAGCTAGTGAGAACGTCCAGCTGGATAGGGAGTGGGTTTCTTCAGATGTTAGGGACAGGGGAAAATCTGCTTCCCCATAGTTGAGGAGGTGAGAGGGGGACTTGCTACTGACCTATGTGCAGCTTTGTATGTTTAAACTTTATTTTTAATCCCTCCATTTAAAGACTTTGATTGCTTTCACCTCCTGCTTATCTATTCTATTCTTGTGCTTGTGATGGGGTCCCTTTGATGGTAAGGTCCTCTGGGGAGCAAGTCAATCAAAGTCAAGCTGTTAGAAACAGCCACAGGGTCCCCATTTGGATGAATGAAGTGGGCGAGGTTGGTCCCTATTAGGTTTGTTCATGTTCTTTCTTTTGTTCTTTGTTTGTTTTTCTGTTTTTTGACTAACCTGCACTCTGTGGGATAATGGGAACTCTGGAGGTCTTCCGTTCTAAAAGCCTAGCCTGACATTTTCACACAGCGACAGTTGGCTTGGGAGGGCCGACATTGTCACTGCAATATATATATGAGGCAGGAACCTTGTTCTGGTGATTGAGGGGAAATGAGATAAGAATTCTCACAGCCAAATGCTGTAGAGATTAGACAATTAATATGTTAAGTATTGTATCTCTAGTAGGAAAACATGCAAACATATTAATTCATGATTTTTTTCTTTTTAGGCTGATCCTGGCCCACCGGGTGAGCCTGGACCTAGAGGAACTACTGGTGAACCTGGACCTGAGGTATTGTAGCTGCTTATGTTGGATGTTGCCATATCATGCCTTTCACCCTTGTAGGGTAGTTTTGGCTCTGATTTCTTGGTCCATTGTAAGTTATATGAACATGAGCAGATACTCAGATTTCAAATTAAGTTTACAAAAACAGGCAAAACTAAAGTGAGTCAAGTTACAGTCAAGTCTCTCTTACGGTGGAGAGGAAAACCGATTCAGATATCTTTTTGAATGTTAGTCATGATAAAGGATGATCTTTGCTTGACTGTGTCTTTGCTTCTGCTGTTACACTATCTTGGGATCTATAAATGACGCTGAAGGCCCAGAGCTATGCTTCCAGGGACAATATCCCAGAGGTCTAAGGAAAACTGGGATCTTCCCCTTTGAGGCAGGAGACTGAACTCCTATCCTGAAGGAAGAGATGAGTCCTCAGGCCTAATCACGTGGACCTTTTGAATAGTTTCTTATTCCTCCTTTTTTAATATTGATATATTTTTATGTCTAGTCAAATGGTATATATACCACTGGGCCCATTCACATGGCTGTCAGTTCAGTCGGTACATGCCTTGCTATTTGTACTAGTTCTGTACATATAGCTCTGGCTCTGCATTCCCCCTGCCCTGTAATTGATATAGCACTAGAGCAGCATAGACATGCCATTTTCCTGTCACTTCCAACTGTTAGTCAACATGCCATATGGTGGGATATCCCACTATATAAATGTAGGGCAGCGCGAGCGCGCGCGCGCGCACACACACACACACACACACACACACACACACACACAGCCAGCAAATGGGTTGGGGTTTTTTGCTCCATTACCACTGCATGGTTACCATGCTAGTATCTCCCTTTTTTATTTTTTAAAAAATGCTTAGCACTACATTGCTTACTTATATATATAATCTGTACTTAATCTTTCTCTAATAGGGTGGCCCTGGCCCTGCTGGAGATCCTGGCTTAACAGTAAGTAAGGAAAATACTATCTGATCACAAATCTACCAAGAAGTTTCCTGTCTACCTAAAGCCAGCTGGTGATGGGCTATCACAGAATGTGCAGGAACTAGGATAAAAGTGTATGGTTGTCCTTTTCAGCCATCCTTTAAAGGGGTGTGTGGGAGGATGAAAACTGAAATTTTTAGAATCAACATGCAAGCTGTGCTGGCTGATTTCCTAAAAGATCTTGTCAGAGCTCTCAAACCCATTGAAAACATGTCCTCATAACGGTTCTTTCTCTGTTCTTCTTGTTCTCAGGACTGTGATGTGATGACCTATGTCAGAGAGACCTGTGGCTGTTGTGGTTAGTTCAGAGTCTTCTTATGGGTGTATAAGAACAATCGGTTTACTGAGCTTTCTTTAGAACAGAATGATTCTCTTAGGAGGGCACATTTTGCCTCTGGGCTGACAGGCAAAAATCATTCTCATTCAGTGTTTTTTCAATAATAATTTTATAGTTAGGCTTATTTTTGACAAAGGTTAAATAGGTTTGCCCAGTTAGTAGTTCTTTGGCCAAATGGGACCTGCAGACCAATCCTATCTGGCCCCTCGTAACACCTCACCTCAAGTTACATATAAAAAGAAAGAAAGAAAGGGAGGGTTGTTATTCTCTTAGGCTCTGTTTGCAGGTCACACTAAACCTGAGCAGGAACAAACTGCAGACTTTTGTGTCTCTCCTCCTTTAGCCACCCAGTCAGAAGAGTGAGTTCAGAACCTTCTGCTTTTGCATAACTATAGTATGCTGTGTTGCCAAGACACAGAACTAGGATTAACTTTAATCCTACAATTTTGAGCATACCTGATCTCATCAGATTTTTGAAACTAAGAAGGATTGGGCCTTGATAGTACTTGAATGGATGACTCCAAAGAATACCAGGAAACTCCAAGAACAAATCTTTCCTAGAGCCCTGGAGAACCACTGCCAGTGGATTTAACATTACTGGGTTAGATGGTGTAGCAATGAAATATACAGCAACTTGTTGCTAACTACAGTTGGTATAAGTAAGCCAGCTCCATAAATAAGTTTAATAATAACCATAATAAACAATTAACCACAACATAATAAAGAGCAGTTAATCAAAAGCAGAAGCAAATAATCCAATGCTTTTCTCCTATTTACATGAGGTGCGGGCAAGAGGGTGGTGGAATGTTGATCTTTTTGGTGGTTCCCCCCACACACACACACACACTCATTCATACCATGACAGACAATAGTTTGGTGTGATATGCAGATACTTCCAAAGTTTGACATTGTGCTTTGCGTTTTCTATGTAGGGACCCAATCAAGCTCTAGTTCATGCACACTGTAATTTTATAGTTCAGGTGCTTTGTGGTACAACCAACTTCAAGGCCCTCTAGTTTGGCCCTGTTCTGGACCAGTATTGATCTGTTTAAATGCAGGATTTTTGATTGCAGTGTCTCTGCTTTCCCTAGATTGTGAGAAACGGTGTGGCCCCTTGGACATTGTTTTCATCATAGACAGTTCTGAGAGTATTGGGTACACAAATTTTTCCCTGGAGAAGAACTTTGTCATCAATGTGGTGAGCAGGCTTGGTTCCATTGCCAAGAGCCCAACATCTGAGACAGGTCAGTGTTGTGATTTGATATTTATAAAATGCTAAAGCCCAGCATTTCCCAACTACTTTAATTTATTAATTTCTATCACAGACCCATGAAAAATGAGGACTTGTTTTTTCTCTTTCCCTATCTCCTCTGAAAACTCTTGTTTCCAGATTTGTAAAACAGTTTCTTTTCCTTACTAAGCATGTAATTTTTTTTTCTTTTACACTTCCCCGTTCCCATCTCTTTTCTAAAGTAATCTGGGCATGTCTTTTCCCAGTTGTTCCAGTATTTTCCTAGGTCAAGATATTCATGATTCACTTTGAGGTGGCCCTAAAAGCATGTGTATCGCTCAGAAGGAAAAGAAAAGAAAGAGAGTGCTTATTGTATGCACAAACCTGCACACTCTTTCCTTAATTGTTACTCCTAATAGGGATGTGGGAGAATTAAATTCAGTTCCTATTTCTATAAGAAGTTACCTAATTTACGATTAGCAAATCAGTATGTAATCTAGAACATGGTTATCTTACAATATATGCATTTGTCAAAATATTGTAGTGCAATTACAGTGGTGCCTCGTTTAACGAGCACACCGTACAACGACGAATCGGCATAGTGATCCCCTTTTTGGGATCGCTAATGCGGAGGAATACCGATCATTCCAATGGGCAAAACTCGCATAGCGACGATTGGTAAGCGTTTCGCTTACCGATCTTCGCTTTGCGATGCCCGCGGATCAGCTGTTCGGCGGTTCTAAAATGGCTGCCGGATGCCCGAAATGGCCACGCGCAGCATTTTCGCGTCCTCCCCTCGCTTACCGAGGGCGCGAAAATGGCTGCCTCTATGGAGGAAACTTCACTGAACGGTAAGTTTAGGGCCCATTGGAATGGGTTTTTATGTTCCGTTCAGTGATGTTTTCACATAGCGAGGGTTAATCCGGAACAGATTAACCTCGCTATGCGAGGCACTACTGTAGATGGACAATCCAACTAGAATAGACCTATTAGATAGATCAGTGGTTCTTAACCTTTGTTACTCAGATGTTTTTGAACTGCAACTCCCAGAAACCCCAGCCAGCACAGTTGGTGGTGAAGGCTTCTGGGAGTTGCAGTCCAAAACTCCTGAGTAACCCAAGGTTAAGAACCAGTGAGACAGATCAATGGGGTTTACGTAATAGCATCTGGTCCCTTAAAATGGATTTTTAAGATTTGGATTTAGACCAAAATACTTATATTGGGGGATGTGCTCACAAAAATGCATGTGATTTAAAGGGATATCAGAATGAGTGGTATGTAGGGATGTATGTTGTCTTCAACAACAGTGCCCACAAAATTGTATGTATTAAGGGGAAAGTATATATAATGGAAGTGAAAAACACACATAATGTTGCTGAATTTTCATGTTAACTTTTTTAAAGCTTCAAACTGATATGGAAACAGGACTAATTAAAAACTGATTCATCCATCTTTACTGTGACCAATATATTTTTGTCTCTTTTTTATCTTCTCTAAAAGGTAAAACATAGAAGTCTCTCCAACAATTTATTACATTCAACACGAAAGCAATTTTAGCAGGCCCTGGAACCTAACTGATTGACACAGCTTGAGGGATAGGATTCACCTCAGGCCCTTTCCCTCCCTTGATGTCTTCTGGCCACTGTCCTTCCCTGGTGTCTTATTCCAATGATCAGCTAATAACAGCATGTCTCTCACTGTCCAATCAGACAGTGTTGGGTATACATGTGTGAAGGGAATTTCTCCCTGTGAGGAAAGGTATTGAACTTCATGCTTCCCCAGTGCAAATAGAAATTGGGAGTAGGTATCTGTGAGTTGGGGAGGCCAAGTAACAGAATAGGAACTAGAGACTTGGAGTAGACTCCTACCCCCAGATGTTATTCATCCCACCAGACAGGCCCCAGATACAGTTTGGCTCCCAGGATCAATATAGTTTACCATCCCTCCTCTGAGAGGAGGGAAAGGATCTGTTAACTCAAGAAAATATGACAGATGGTTTGTTTTACTGACAGGCGCACGTGTTGGGGTTGTCCAGTACAGTCATGAGGGGACATTTGAAGCCATCCAGCTGAATGACAAGCGAATTGACTCCCTCTCCAGTTTCAAAGAGGCAGTGAAAAAGTTAGAATGGATTGCAGGGGGCACCTGGACTCTCTCTGCCCTTCAGTTTGCCTACAATACTCTCATCAAAGAAAGCCGAAGAGAGAACGCTCGTGTATTTGCTGTGGTAGTGACTGATGGGCGCCATGATCCACGAGATAACGACTCCCACTTACAGGCTCTGTGTGGGGGAGATGTCATTGTCAATGCTATCGGGATTGGAGACATGTTCAACATGCCAGAGGAAGACGAGACCTTGCGCTCCATTGCCTGCAATGACAACCAGAAAGTCCAGAAAATGAAGCTGTTCACGGAGTTGGTGGCTGACGAATTCATTGACAGAATGGAGCATGAACTCTGCCCAGGTCTGTCAGAATTGCCTCCTCTCAGGCAATATCGTGAGAATGTGATGTGACCAGAGATTTCTATGATCTTTTTTCTTTTCCTGTTTCATGTTGTGGTTAATAACTTAGTGGTTATGCCCATAGGGTCTTCACTTAGGATATTTCCTTCATCTAGATTAAACTGGTGCCCTTCCAAATGCACATTCATGGACTAGATGGCATTTCATTCTAATGCACTACGCAGTTCCTCTTTTTCTAGGACGTGTCAGGCTCATTATAATATGTTTCAAAGAATGAAAACTGATACGAAGAAGGAGGACATTGTCTGACATTGATTGAGGGAAAGTCACAAAAACCCAATTAGGTTAAAATACCCCAGACTAATTCCACTTCACATCTAATATAGTCTTCCGCTTATATACACCACATAGAATTTAAAGCACTCTCTGGGTGGTTTACAATTTAATTCTTCAGGCTACACTTTGCATCCAGCCTCTAGCATGCTGGGTACTTAATTTACTGACCTCACAAAGATGGAACGCCTCACACTGACTGCCTGGGATTGAACCCCAGGTCATGAGCAGAGTTTTGGCTGCAGTACTGCAGTTTAACCACTGTGCCACAAGGCACAGTAGCAACTAACATTCTTCAGAAAAATAATTTTAAGGCTTTGGTTAAGGCTTTGATACTAAATCCCTGGCATTTACTCACATTTACTCACAGCTTCTGAGTATGGTTCTTTGCTCTTAATGCCAAAAAGACTGCATTGTGGATATTACTGTGTTCCATAAAGCTATTTTAGAAGGGGTCTATCTTTGTGTAACCTTGTCTCTCTGTAGTTTTGCTACCAATGGGGAAGAATGTATAATTTCTCTTCCATAGAAAGCATGAGTTTTGTGTGTGTGTATGATGTTTGATTAGAAAATGACTGGAGTGGGTGGGTAGAACTGTGTTTTAACTACACAGCCCCCTTCTACCATTGCAGTGGCATTGAAATGTTTTTGTTTGTGTTTTTAGTTGAGGAGCTGTAGTATCCTGCAAGATTTCAATATAATCTTTTCCTTTTAATTTCAGATCCACAGATTGTCTGCCCCGATCTCCCCTGTCAAACAGGTAAGAAAACCCAAGGAATAACCAACACTAGCATTCCCTTCTCTCCCAACCCCATTTGCTTTGCTATATAGTACAATTTAAGGAAACATGGAAAGTTGTAGCCCTCAAACCAGAAAGGGGAAGGGAGAAATAATTTTGACCAGAATCTTCATAACTGTACCTTCATTCTAATATTCTTTCCTTCTGTTGAACAACAGATTGCTATTTGTACAGACAGATATATTCTTGCATTACAAGAGTGTCTCCATTGATTAGCTCTACCCATTTCCTTCACAAGGTGGTTGTACACAGATACTATCATCATTCTAAGTCCTTTGAGATGGCAGCCTCTTGCAGAGCAAAAACATATTCTAACTGTCCTATTGCTGTACAGTCCTTGAGCCAGAGAATAACACAAGAGATAAGCAGATATGTTCACCCAAAGCTTTTGAAATTAGCCAGTTGTAAAGTACTATTGATGCCTGTTTTAGTCAGCAAAGTCACAATGTGCAACTTGGACTCTGAACAGAACCACACCGAGTGGTAGAATTAACTGCTGATACACAGTTTTGGGACTAATCAATATATAGTCCAAGTGTCTGTTAATGCATTTTGCTCTTCATGGCTCCCATTACTATGTATTGTTGGTGAAGTGACCCATCTTGATTTCATCTGCCTTCTTCCCGTATTAGCAGCTAGAACAAGTTGCACAGATTACCGTACTTGCACAGAACTCTGTAACCAAATTCTTGAGTTAGAGAAAAACAAATAGTTTTCATATTTTGTTTCTGAAGACCAAATATCACAGTCCTAAATCCGGATGAAAAGAATCAAGCACTGTGTAATTAAAGCTACAAGCTTGGCTCATGACAAATTAATGAATAACAGGAAAAGTCTGCCTTTTATAACTGTTAGAAAGAACAGATACGTCTGAACAGACTTATCTTACCTAGTAAAATGGTAAAAGAGGGGCGTTAAATAATGAAGTATTTCAATTACAGCTGTTCTATATAAGGCTTTGAATTACATTCATTTTTTCCTTCATAAAAGCCCTCACCCCAGAAATTCATTCTTTTCCCTTGCTCTTTCAGTATATCATATTAAACATGTCAACACACTGGACAATGGACAATTTTAAAAGTTATATTCTTATGTCCACCTTTGTACTAAACGGTTCTAGCAATACCGTAATAGTGTGGAGGGAGGGAGGAAGGAAGGAAGATTAATGGGCACCACAACCTTTTGTGCAATTCAGTAAATTAACTCTTTTTTAAAGAAAAAAAAACTAAAATGGCAAGATATTGCTAAAGAAGGTACTAAATGAGTTTACCTTCTTAAATGGTATAGTTCTGGAGCTAAGAATGTTTGTCATTTTAAAATGGAGGCCAAAATCCCGCTGTGTAGCTATGCCTGTGTGAATAAGTTGCGCAAGTAATTTTAAAATTTGCACCAAGGCAGAAACTTTACCCAGCAAGCACTTCCACAGATGAAATTGCACAACAAATTGTGCAATGAGTTGTACAGTCTCACACACAGACTGCTTGGGCATAATTGTCAGCAAACTTTTGCAGACACAGCTTTACACTATGCCAAGTGCAAATAGGAGTATGGTTTACTATTGAAACTGTATATTTATGCTTGTTGTGTGAATCTAGGGCACTCTCTTTTAATCTAACAATAAGCAATCTCCTATCAGAATCATAGATCTCACTGTCTTTGTGCTGGATGAGGGAGAGGAGGAGTTAAATATGCATTTATGAATTGATTGCATAGTTGGAATGGATGTGGAAGAACAGGCTGATTCAGCTGATGATAGTAGTATGTGACTCAGTAATATATCTGTGAAGATTCTCAGTCATCCAGGTGAGGTTATTTGGAAGTTGACTCATGGCAACTGGACGTCTCCTTCTTGTTAGGTTAAAACATTTCACAGAGTTGGTAGGAGATCCCTGATATATCCTCCACATTGGTTTCACTTCCCCCTGGTCTGAATAGGCCCAATAGAAGGACAAAGGACTGGGGGTGAGGGATAATCCCACTTCTGCAGTCCTTCTCCACCCATTGTCATGGGTCATTAACAGTCGTTAGCAGTTAGTTGTTAAAGCCATGCTTTAGGGCAACATCCTCCAACTGTGCACTTTCTTGGTATTTTGAACTAAAAATCTCACCACAGCAAGCTAGTTGATTTGTTTAAGGTATGTCTGGGAAGTGTCAGGTTGAAGAAGCCAATCAGGGGGAATAGACAGAATGCAACAGAAGGGAATCATGTCAGCCACAAAAACATGTGCAGTTTTCTCCCAGGGTTTCCTCTAAAACTAACCAAAAACTCAATGTTTAAGTTAGGTTAGAACCCTGTAGAGGAAACATGGATGACAAATGCAATTTCACAGCTGTTTCCATCTCTGGCAGTCAGTCCATTGCATACATCGATCATGCACTAGTTGCGACAGCTGATTTCCATCTCTGGCAGTCAGTCCATTGCATACCTCGATCATGAATCAGGTACATGGCCAATTGTGGGAAAGGCAGGCAACCAAAGCATGGAAACTGTTCCCTGACTGCCCTTATGCTCACAATTCTTTCAACAGGATTTTGGCCTTAATGCATAACTTAATAGATTAAAAACCTTTCCCCAAAATTCTGAAAGCCTGTAAATACCATCTCTGGCAGTCAGTCCATTGCATACCTCGATCATGAATCAGGTACATGGCCAATTGTGGGAAAGGCAGGCAACCAAAGCATGGAAACTGTTCCCTGACTGCCCTTATGCTCACAATTCTTTCAACAGGATTTTGGCCTTAATGCATAACTTAATAGATTAAAAACCTTTCCCCAAAATTCTGAAAGCCTGTAAATAAAGCGATTGTACAAATATTCCAAGTCCGCAGGATTTTGGCCTTAATGCATAACTTAATAAATAAAAAACCTTTCCCCAAAGTTCTGAAAGCCTGTAATTAAAGCGGTTGTACAAATATTCCAAGTTCTGCAAGTAATTAAATTATCCTGACACTAGATGCTTTATAAAAGCATCTTGCCTCTTTCTTTTCCCTTCAGCTGAATGAGCAGTTGTGGCGTGTGCTTGCTTGAAGGGTTCTCATTCATTGGTTGAATCTTATAGGAAAGGCAGCAGTTATCACAGTATATCCCAGGATATTTTTATGGTGACACTGATCAAGACTTAAATCATCAGGGATTTTCCTAAAACATTGAAGTGTGATGTTTGACTGTTCAAGAGGGAACATAGCTGAGGACGAGACTCTCTGCCCTTGACAAAAGTGGAGTCAGACAGCTGTAGGACACCATAGTTAAAAATGAAAAATAATTCACAGTTATTATGACCAAGTTGTCTTCCTGGGCTGTAAAGAAAAAAAATCCCTCTTCTGCTCCTGCTTCCAGGAGAAAACCTTCCATCCTTTTGTTCTTTAAAAAACTTTAGAAAAGGAATTAATTAAATGGACCGTAAATAGACTAACAGCATGTCGAAAGGCAGCAGTTATCACAGTATATCCCAGGATATTTTTATGGTGACACTGATCAAGACTTAAATCATCAGGGATTTTCCTAAAACATTGAAGTGTGATGTTTGACTGTTCAAGAGGGAACATAGCTGAGGACGAGACTCTCTGCCCTTGACAAAAGTGGAGTCAGACAGCTGTAGGACACCATAGTTAAAAATGAAAAATAATTCACAGTTATTATGACCAAGTTGTCTTCCTGGGCTGTAAAGAAAAAAATCCCTCTTCTGCCCCACTCCTGTCTGTTCCTGCTTCCAGGAGAAAGCCTTCCATCCTTTTGATCTTTAAAAACTTTAGAAAAGGAATTAATTAAATGGACCGTAAATAGACTAACAGCATGTCCATCGCTGGGTTCGCTCTCATGATGGAACACAACTTTATACAAAAGAAAACCCTCCATACAGGGAATGAGCCAAGAGTTGTAGCCTCACCTGTATCCCCTTGTGCTTGTTTGCTGTGGGCAGAGTAGTTTCTTTTTGTAAAGAGTAGAATTCCATCCTGTGAGTCCCCACCTCTAATCTGAATTGCTATACTTAAGGCCCAAAACAGACATCATTGACAGCCCATCATCAGAAGAGAAGAATCCTTATGGGATATTTGTGTGTGAATGTCACAGCTGTAGTTTCTGTCATCTCCTGGAGTTTCCAGATTAGCTTTGGACATTGGTCTTCAGGGCCTAAACAAGGGGGTCCTTTGAAAGCACTAATTCATCTTCAATTCTAATTATAGGCTATCTGTAATTTGTTTTTTAGCCCTAAAACTCAAGATTTATCACTGCTTGCTTTACCAGAGCTGAAGTCTTAAAACCCAACCCAGCTTATGCCTGAAGAGATCTGTAATCAAACATGTTTTTCCCTACAATCATTTCAACATATGCCCTATGCAAAGCCAAAGCAAATTGAAACTAGACATCCATACCATGCTAGAAAGCCCTGAAAATATTCTTTTGACACTCACTTACAGATGGGAGGAACCCTGGGATCGAAAACCCAGTTATTTTCCGCCCTATGGAAGAGGGAGTCAAGATAACATTTCCCAGCACCAAACCCATGATCGCCCAGTTCCTGAACTCCACGAGGGAGATCCAGGACCCCAGCATGTACACCCAGCTGGTGGCCACCTTGGCCTATACCGCCGAAAAAGCTAAGTTTGCCACTGGACAGGAACGGCAGGAATGGATGGACTTGTTCATTGACACCTTTAAAATGGTGCACAGTGAGATTATGGGAGATCCAGAGACTGTCATAGGCCTTTGCTGAAACTGTGTTTGTGCCTCTAAAACAGCTAGGGCTTGGTTCTGCCTACAGAGCATGTAGCAAGTCATAGGAGCCACTTCCGCTGCAAAAATTGCACTAGTGTTAAGAATCTGCAACAAGTGACGTGCCTGGCATAGGAGTCTTCTTAAAAGACAATTTCAAGAGCTATTCTGATTACATTCCTCTTTCGCTAGTGCACTGGGGCTTATCAGAGCATGGATTTAGTTCTGGTGTTTCCAGAGGACAGGGCAAGAGAAAGCAGGGCAGCTGAAGAGAACTGCCTGAGTTCCTCCCCTGGAAACAAGGCAGGGCTGACAAATTCATATTTTGCTGAGCAATCCAGTGCAAAATGGTGTGGGAGGAAATATAAGCTTTGCCCTTGGCCTCTTGGAGTAAGCTAGGAAAAGGAGATAACCATACAGTAACTGTGTAAACACCTACAACATGGGCTGGAGAGGGAAGGATGTCTAAGTACATGGAGCTTGTTATTGGCCATCCTTGCCAATAACGCTAGTTAATGAGGGGTGGTTACCTGCATTTTTACAACTGTGGGCAGTGATGTCTCCATCTATCCTGAAGCTGTAGCATGTGTGTATGACAGAAATTTGTCTTTATGAGCTGGCAACATGGGAATCTGTTGTAATATATATATGTCTGTGTGTTTGCGTGTGTATGTGTTCTAGCTATTGACTGTCTAGTAAACAATGTCTGTGTCTGTTTTTCTGTGTATTTGCAAGGTTTTTCCTAGGTAATTCAGGGAAACGTCCATAAATGTTCTCTGTCCTGAAATCTAATCTACATCTTTTTGGTGAGCAGACTAGAATAAAGTGTTTGAAGGAACATTGACTGCATGCCAAAGAATGAATATAAATCCTCTTTTGTCTCGTTCTCATGCTTGAGAATGAAAAATTGCATTTTTCCCTTTTTGCCTGCAAAATATTAAGTTACAGTGAACCACTGTATCCGCAGGGGATGCATTCCAAGACCTACTGTGGATGCCAGAAACAATGGCTAATAGTGAACTGTATATATAGAATAGACTTTGGTTCCATTTAGTGGCCAATTCTGGTAATACACCTTGAAAATTTGTATTTCTGGGTTTTTTCATTTAATATTTTTAGGCTGGAGATAAGTAAAACCATGGATACTGATGCTGAGGATATGGGGGTCCTACCATATTTTCAGGTGCTCCCGACTAAAGTTCTTGCATTTGGAAGAATTATCTTCATGCAATTTGTGCAAAGTTATGATAAGATCTGCTGCCTTCCTGCATAGACTTTTAAAAACTTGAACTATCAAAGGAATTGTTTACATCCTTTTGGCTGAGTACCCAGATTTTTCTCTGCTCTTGTGTGCATAGCTTCACAAAGAGAAAATAAGGTAGCTTCAGCAGACACATTTCACACAAATTGTTGAAACCTGGACAACAACCCCCTGCAGGCTTCTTACCTCATTGTTGTGCTGGAAATGAAAATCCTCAGTCAAGTTAATTATTTCTCACCATGGTATTGTGCCAAGAACAAGCAATTCTGTAAATACGTATGTTCAAACTAGTCCACTTGTGTCTGTCTTCAACATATGATTCCCTCCTATGGTGCCCTCCCATGATATCCTTCAGACATGTTGGACAGTAGTTCCTATCAGCTATAGGCCAAGCACATTGGGAGTTGTCATCCAAAACATCTGGGGTTCACCATGTTAAATAACATTTTCCTGCTACCTTTAGCAATGAGATAGAACTTCAGACCGAATCTCCCCATTCAGTTGCCCACACTGCACTGGATCAAAATTGTGCAGAGGAAGCGGCAGGGAGCCTTCCCAATGAAACCAGATGACTGTCCTTGCTAGAACTTGTACTCCGAGTGTTTTGTCCTTTTATTATGTTCCACTTGTTTTTATTCAGTATAGTGAGGTTTCCCGTGTTGGATGTTCCTGTTGTCTATTGACATCAAATGTACAGTATCAGGAAATATGCTAATGCAGTGACTGCACAATTTAATATATTCTGTTACTTTACCAAATAATGTGAAAGTTAAATGTATTTCGCAAAGGCCAAATAATGTGAAAGTTAGATTTAATTTAGTGGGTGTCAATATGAAGGTTCATTTCAACTCACACCCAACAACAATAAAACATGTTAGCCAGGTTTTTATGAGCTAACATGTATTATTCATGTTTGGAGCCCACAGTCAGATCCAAACATATTGTGGAATGCCAGTAAGAGAAATTCAAACAATGTCAAATGTCAAACAAGCATTTTTCAAAAGCAGCCTTTCCTCCTGCATGGATTGACGTTTGTCTTCACCAAATAACGAGAAACTACAGGGATAAAGAAGTGAATGAGTTCCAGAGGTCAGAGAATGATGATTTCCACCAACTGTGGATTCCTTTAAGCAATTTCCATCACTTTAACCAGCAAAATTCAATATTGGCTATGTGAATACAGTGTGATAACCCGCAACATGTCTATTAGCTGAGCCACTTTTTGTGCAAGTCGCCTTTCCATTATTCTAGTTATAACAGATAAACTGATGATCACACACACACACACACAAAGAATTCATAGATTTACCCCCAACAAAATGGCTCTTTTTGCATTTGCTTCAAGGTACATATTCCTATTAATTGTGCAGGTCTTGTTGCTACAGCCCAGTCACAGGCCAGTATAAATTTGGGTCTGTGCTTCCATCATAAACTGGCTTGTAAGAAGCAATCAGCCATTTCCCTGAGGTGATTCTAAATTATATGGTGTGGTCATATAAAAGATGGATATGGCGATATCCCTCTATCTGCATTTTCTAAAGCAGCCATTCTCAACCTTTTTTGGGGGGCACAACCATATACTCAATATGAAAGAAACGTAGTCCGAATCAGGATTGTATAAGCTGCATAACAGACCTTATAAGGTGGTGTGTGAAGAATTGTTTCCAGTCTGTGGCCTTGAAATGTGCCAGGGTCCCTAGGAGACCATATGACCCCTGTTGAGAATGGCTGCTCTAAAGTATATGAGAGAAAGCAATACTCCAATTAAATTTCAGCTTGAATTGACAAGTACGCCACTACGTAGTTCTGGTCTAATCATTATTAGGTAGAATGCCTTGAAAGTGTGTTTCCCAGAAAGCTAGCTTCGTTACCTTGTGAAGTATGTGAGGAGGAAATGGGCAAATACATGTTCCACTTTTCTAATGAAATGTTTGGTACATTTTCACCCACACATTGACAACTTCCAGTACAAGCCATAAAAACTGCAATGACGTACACAGACATCTTTAAAAAATATTTGTAACATGAAAGCATCATTACAGGGAAATATACATTCTAGCCAGTTTATGTGTTGCCCAATGTTGCTTTTTGCTGCTTGGTTAAATAAGAAACATGCTTATAGGTTTTCAGGATCCAGTGACTGTGCTCATGTCCTTTCCAGCTGTGGAGCAAGGAACAGCTATCATCTTCTACACTGAACTCATAATGCCAATTACACTGCCATCACTGAGACTCATTAAGCACTCTATTCATTTTATTTGTTGTTTCTGTATTATGTATTATACGTTGCTTACTATCCCTGTTGAGCAATTGCTGATAGACATTGTTGAATCTGGGCCATTACTTTTATAAGTGAAAGAAGAAAGGTCAGAATCTGCAGTTTTTTGGCATTTGTTTTTCGTTTGTTGTTTGTTTGTTTGTTTTTTCATTTTTTAGTAGGACATGTTATAACTTTTGTTCTCATGTGGAACTTCCCTACAGAGATTTGACTGAGGTGATAGAACTTCTAATCAACCCCAAACTCCCTTGCAAGCTTGCTATTTGTAGATCTGCTTGCTTTGAAACATATGTTTTCTTACTTTAATTGTTGTTAGGCCTGAAGTGCCTAACAGTCCTCTTGAACCACAAGATAATAATTATCAAAACCATTAATTGTCACTCAGATAGATGTATTAGTTGTGTTTTCAATCATTATTTACATTATTTACAATCAGTATTGTTGTAGGGTTCTTATAGATGCTGCATATTTGACTACAGGAAGTCTTCTTGATGGCATCAAATTTTCTTTCATGTGTGGATAATTTTATAAATTATTCCTCTTCTCAAAATGTTAGGAATCTCAGTTGACAACCTTACTTTCTACAAACATTTTGATACAAAATATTTCTTTGCACCAGGCTCGAGAAAATGTGACTATATTGTATGAATCTGAGACACTAAAAGATTTGCAGTATAGATCTTCTTTAGGTAATAGAGAGGCTTTCTTGTTACTGGAGAAGGAGGTGTGGGTCCAGAGGAATAAAAATAGGCTATTCACCAAATGTGATGTTAAACAGTCTGATTAGCAGTCACATTATCTGATTTCAATAATTAAATGTCAGGTGAAAGGGAGGATCACAGCACATGAAGAGATTTGAGTCTTACCTGCTCATTTGCAGTCTCTGAAATTCAGGTACCACAGATACACATGCAAAAATTATCACTGAGAAAAGTACTGGCCGTGGAGAAGGATTATGATCATGCAGTTCATAGGGAAATGTTTAAACCACAGTAGCTGTGAAATCTTCCTTCTTATGTTAATATTACCGTTAGACAAAAATTCCCTCCTTCATGTGAACACTTTTGTCAATGAGAAGTGTTGCATGTGCATCTGAGGTATGTGAATTTCACAGACCACAAATGAACAGGTGAGACTCAAACCTCTTTGTGATCAATGTTGTGATCTTTAGACCCAATCTTTCTTTTCATCTGGCACTTAATTATTCTCCCATTTCCATCACTGCAGTGTCCTTCAATGCTAACTGTTTTCTTTTCTAATTCCAGAACTTGCTGTTGCCCAGTGCACACAGCGCCCAGTTGACATTGTCTTCCTCCTGGATGGTTCAGAACGAATTGGTGAGCTGAACTTCCACAAAGCCCACCATTTTGTAGAGGATGTGGCCCGACATCTTACCTTGGCTAGAAGTGCCAATGACAACATGAACGCACGCATTGCTCTCCTACAGTATGGAAATGAAAATGAACATGTGGTAGCTTTTCCACTGACATACAACATCACTGACATTTCAGATGCCTTAGCTCAGCTCAAATATTTGGATTCTTCTTCCAACATTGGGTCTGCTATCATCTATGCCATCAACAATCTTGTCATCAACCCAAGAGACAGCCAGAGAGCTGCCCGGCGCAATGCCGAGCTTTCATTTGTCTTCATCACAGATGGCATTACGGGTGACAAAAACTTGGTGGAGGCTATTGACTCCATGAAGAAGCAGAATGTTATGCCCACGGTGGTAGCATTAGGAAGTGATGTAGATATGGATGTCCTGCGGAAGATTAGCCTAGGAGACCAATCAGCCATTTTTCAGGAGAAGGATTATGCCAGCCTCTCCCAGCCTGGTTTCTTTGATAGATTCATTAGGTGGATCTGTTAGTCTAAGGAGAGTACCAAAGATAATTTGTGCCAAAGATAGTTACAGAGAAGACACCAAAGATGCTAACACTTCTAAATTTTTATACGATTTTGGACCATTTAATCTGCCCAAGGACAGCTCCCACAGATCTGCAAGGGATTTATTTTTATAGCCAAAATCTGTAAACTTACTGTCAATGTCATGCAACTCATGTTTATGGTGCTAGTTAAAACCAAGATGGTAGAAGGTAAAGTGTGATTTGTCATGCCAGAAAGCATTATTAATGCTTCGGTTGACTCAGATTTCCATCCCTCCAGAATCAGTAAATTGAGCATCCAGCTTGCTGTGGGGGGGGGCAATGTGTAGCCTGCATGGTTAAACTGTAAACCACCCAGAGAGTGCTTTAAGTGCTATGGGGCGGTATATAAGCAGCACACTTTGCTTTACTTTGCTTTATTTGCCTGATAATATTTCTGGAATTTGGTTCCTTTATTGGCAGACAGGGATAATATATTTACTCTGATCCTCATTGCTCCTTCCTCCTGTCCCAAAGGGACACAGACAGTATTTTCTTAGCAGCTGTGTTACACCTCATCATCTCATTGAGAGCAATGACAGGATATTTTGCTACCAGCTCTGTCACTCTGTGCTTTGGCCCATACCACTAGTGAGCGCCTGATCTTCCATCTTTAGTTTTCATACAGTTGCTGAGGAATTGCAACAACAAATGTATTTCTGACATAACATGGTCCAAGCATTAACTATACTTTATCTGACGCTGCTAAATCACAATAGAAGCCAGGGGAAGGAATTTTATTCCTATACTGAAGAGATGGGAGGCTGTAGTTCTGCTTCCAGTGCAAATGGCAACCATTTCTTTTCTGTATTGAAACAGAGTTGAAATCTGTTGCCATCTGTCTCCCCTGGCATATCGTGACGGTTCTTGACACAGGGCCATTTGATTTCCCTGTTGTTTTAAACAGCCCCAGTAAAGAGGGAGCTGGAAGCACCCTGACTGCCTTGCCCACAGGTACTTCTTTTCTTTTTCTGAGTATCAGTGGGCAACACTCCTCTGTTTTTTTTCCTGTTCCGCATTGCATTGACTTTCTTGTATATCCAACCTTTCTGTAGAGAATATGCCTTACTAGCTTTCTTCTACCTGCAGCAAAAAAATGAACAAAGCCTTTTCTCTTGAATTAGTCACAAAACACTCTTCCTCAGCAATGCAAAGCCATATTGATTGATGTGGAACAAAATTGCAACTTATATGCATTCATAGGTTTGCTGTTTCTGGAGTAAAATCATTACTTGAGCCAAAATTGCACTCTTGGTAAATAAACTCTTGTTCACACTACCTTAAATATAGTGTCGTTTATCTTTTTGCTTAAAAATATTTTTCAAGAACCAGCTCAGCATGCTTCCAAGCATATGCAGTCATCCTCATATTCAATTAACCGCCAATGGCCAAATACGTATTTTTACACAAGGAGAAATTGTAACATGTAACAAGATTTCACGGCACAGTGTGTTGTAGCATATAAAGAAACAATTCCTGCTTGTTGCCCCTGTGGATGTTGTGGTTTTGAAATTCATATACCCAAGACGGCATTTGCAATGGAAAATTCTACCTCATTTACTCTATAATAAAACTGCTTTTTAACAACAACAAAAAAAAAGGTGAGCCACAGTAGATGTATCAGTATGTAGTCCAATTAAAGCTAAAATGTTTAAAGCCAAAAGAAACATGCCGCTATGGAGACAAAAGGGTTGTGGTACCTTTGCTTGATATGCTTGCATCGACTAATGTGACTCTTCTAAAACTCTATTAAAGGTGAACTACAGTAGGTGTTATGGCATGCAGTCGAAAGAAAGCTCAAAGCTTTAGAAGCAATAGAAACATTCCACTTGGGAGGAACATTTGGGTAATGCCTTTTTCCCCCTCTACAAATGAACCTCTACCTTATTTACTCTCTATAGCAAAACTTTTGTAAGAGAAAAAGTGAACGACAGTAAATGTGGTGGTATGCTGTCCACAGAAACTGAAAAGGTTTACAGCCCTGCAGAGACATTTGGGGGATGCCTTTCTTCTCTACAAACAAATCTGTACCTGATTTATCTCTGTAGTAAAACTTGTTTTTAACAGAAAAGGCAAACAAAATAGATGTGATGGTATGTTGTCCAAACAAAGATCAAAGATTAGCAGCCTTTCAGAAACATTTGAGGGGTGCCTTTTTGTGCTACAAAGGAATCTCTACCTCATTTACTCTTTTTAGTAAAACTCCTTGTTTTTAACAGAAAAAGTGAACCAACAACCTCAGGAGCTGGTGAGTGCTCCAACTCTGGAGGCATTCAAGAGACAATTGGACAAACATCTGTCAGATCTGCTTTGATTTTGGTTCCTGCATTGAACAGGGGGCTGGACTCATTGTCCTTATAGGCCCTTCCAGCTCAATCATTCTACGATTCTAAGATGGGCAACAGGCAGACCACCTCTCCAACAACCCCCAGATTTATTGTTTCGACCCAAACAAAAATCATTATT